TTTAAGGCCCTTAACTACTTGTTAACACCCGTATCCTCAGCACTTAAACAATGCCTGGCATGTCATAGGCATTCATACATATTTATTGAATAATAAACTAGAATATTGGTCTCTTGTTTCTAAAGTATACTTCTATAAACTACTCCAAGTTATCCTATGAAAAATAGTATGGAACAAGCAAGGATATCTGAATTATTCTATCTAGCTACAGGTCTATCATAAACATTCACTTAATTAATGCATTTTAACAAGCAAAAATATCTAGTGAGTATTAATGTTTTCAACTCTTTGACGTGTCTAAGTAGCCTGTGCTTCCTTTAGATGCCCCAGAGAAGAAGAAACTCCCTGAATTCTGTTCATTTGGAAAGCAGATACTGCAGGTCCACTCAACTGATATGCACACTCACTTTCTACCTTACGAAGAGAACCTTAATTTAGTTGGAAGGTGGTAAGGTACCTGGTTAAAAATATTTACTTTCTCAACTCCTTTGCAAGAAGGGGTGGTCTAGTGACACAGTTCTGGCCCATGAGACATTAGCTGAGGGGTTCTGGGATAGCTTTGTTTTTCTGCTATAGATTCTTCCTCTTTCTCTTCCCATTGGTCTTTCTGCTTGGAACAGACCAGAAGCCTGGAGCAGCAGCTCTCTGGGGACCTTGAAGTTAAAATTTGGAGACTGCTAAGGAAAATGAAAAGCATCTGGATGCCCTTTGGTGCCGTGAGCCACAATTCCAGTCCTGGACATTTTATTGCATGACATAAACAAACCTCTTTGCCCTTGTTTGCTGGGTTTTCTATTATTTGCTGCCAAATGCTTGTTCTGAATAATAATGAAGAATCATTTGCTGAACATGCCCTAATATTCTGTTACTTTTAGGATTCTAATATGGTAGTGCCTTATACCCCTGGGTCCACTGTGCTCATTCCAAATTAGCCTCACTGTTAGCAAAAGCCAGAGAAAAGGGAAAAAATGCTATGCCATATTTACAGAGTGAGAAACAAAAAATGAAAATGAACCCAAAACCATTTTAATCTACTTTAGCCAATTTTTTCTTCAAGTTTCCAGGCTTCTTTGAGTTCCCTTCTTCGCCTACTTTTCTCTGTAATCCACTCTCATGCTCTTATTCCCTCTATAGACCAAGTCTCCGTTATCTGCATAAACCAAGTGTGAAACGCAATGGAGGAAGTAGCTGCATCAATGTCTGTGTCCACAGAATGAAGGAGCCTCACCGTACAAATGTCAAGGGAAGTTCTAGAGTTGAATGGTAGCCTCTTTACAGCATGCAATCAGGCACCTATGCACTTTGTAGATGATTTTATTTCATTCACACCACAGTACAAAGTAGAAACCCTTACCCCCATTGCTGTGGGAATTACGTCAGATACTTACAAAGTTTAGCACTTTATTTACTTACAACGTCATTTAAAACTGAAGACCTCCATCAATTTCCTTGAGCTGTTCTTCCTCTATTTAGTTCTTCAGAATGTTATGACGTTATGAAATCCAATAATTCAATTTCTTTGACAGATTTCACATTTCAGCGACAGAGACATTTTTAGTAGTTAATCTACCTGCTGGAGCTTTGAAGATTGGTTTTTGGAATCAGGGACTTAGAAAAATAAGGGCATTTCTTCCCCCATCCTCTTTCTTCAGAGAAAGCAAATACTCGAAATTACATATGAGCATAAACACTTTAATGTAGTTAGATGTGCTTTTTCCACTATTCAGTTTGCACTTACACTAGTTGCTTTAGATGTGGGTAAAGAAACAGAATTTTTAAATTAACACAAGATAAGTGGTTTATTTATGAATTCATAAATCCATATAGTAATAAATGAACTCTGCCATACTTATTCTTAAATTATTTGTTATGGCAATACCCAAGATCAGTGTTTCCAAAACTTCATTCAATTAGATATCACTTTTGTGATTTTAAGGTACCGCCTCTGCTATAACTTTTCAACATTTTTCTTTAAATTGATTTAAAATATATTTACACTTTAAGCTTGCCTCATCCTAAGAAACAATAGCTATAAAATCATGGATTGGGGGTTGCTGATTATGTATCTTTTCTAAAACATATTATAATAGTATTTATAAAAATAAAAATAATTTGCCCCTGGCCAACCTAAAATAATGTTTCCACATTATAGAAAACATTGACATAACTGAATTAAAATTAAAAATGGATGGTGAAAACTTTTTTAAGAACAGAAAACAGTCTGAGATTTTTCTTTTTTGTAAAGACACTTACCTGGTCAACTCTGGGAAGAAAAAGGGGTTACAAAATTATTGTCTAATAGGAACTCTGGTCTGGAATCCAGCTCTGCCCGGCCACAGTCTATGCTTCTGTTTCTCTTGTTTAGGGGGATAAAAAAATAATCCCCAACTTATCCATCTGACACGACCTTTCTTAGATTCAATACGCACAATTAAAGAGGATCCAAAAGTGAGCGGCCAGGATGATAAGAAAAGGTTGGGAGGAACTGGTGATGTTTTATCACAGAGACGAGACCACTCATATGATGATGTAGAGTATTCTTCAGTCTCTGAAGGGCTGCAATAGGAAAGGAGGTAAAGGTAGGAGAGACAGAGTTTAACATGCAGAAGAACAATGAGAGCTCTTTGGCCGGGTTTAGGGTTCAGCCGGAGCTATTCAAGGATAAGTGAGGTGATAAATGACTTGTCTGTGATGTTGAAGAGGATCATGCATTAGATTAGGTTTGGATAGATAGCCTCGGGTCCTTTCTCTCTCTAACAATGATAGGCACCAATTATTAAATGCTCACTAAGCTGGGCTAAGCATTTCATAGGTCTTATTTAATTTTCACAATAACTGAATAGGGGTAGGTATGATTGTACCTATTTTACACACAGGGAAACTGAGTTTAAAATCCAGTAGGAGTTGAATTTGAACCCAAGTCAGAGCGACTCAAAGTGAGTAGATATACTAACCATTATGTTATATTATAAATGTGGTCTGGGAAAGATAAAGTTTTCATTTTGTTTTGGTCAGAAAGTTTCTTTGCCCATTCAGCCAAATTGAAGCCAAGTTGTATTCTTGAAAGAATTTTGTTGTAAACTATAATTGTGTGAAAAGGAAACTGAAAAGCCATTATCTCAGCTGGTTTCCTTCAAATTTCTGAGAAAGCCAACACATTTCCCAAGGATAACTTATGCTTTTAATTGTGATCTCTGTGTTTTGAGAGTGGAGAATAGAATAGAAGAAACCAACATTTCCTAAGGAAAACTTATGCTTTTAATTTTGATCTCTTTGTGTTTTTAAGAATGGAGAACAGAATAGAAGAATCCAGAAGCCATGCTGTTTATTTCCCCAAATGATGTTACATAATCAGCAAAAGCTTTGGTTCCTTTTGTTTGTCTGAATCTTTTTTTTTTTTTTTTTAAAAAAACACTTATAAAAGTGTCTGTTCAAGGAAAGGGAAGGGCAATTTTATTTTTTAACACCTCGGAGTATGTCAAATAATCTCAAGGGGTATTGGGATGTTTTGCAAACACAAATAATTCAAATTACTTAAAACAAATATGTGCCTTAATCAGGTTTTAAGTAGAGAGAAACTTAGGAAATCAAACAAACAGCCACAGCAGGTGGTCTAGAAAGTCCAGAAAGTTTTGGGTGAAACTGGCTTAACCAAAAAAGAAAAAGAAAACAAAATACAAAAGGCCAGGGGAGAGGGAGAGGAGAGGAAGGAAGAAAGGAAGGGAAGAAGGAAAGAAGCAAAGAAGGAAGGAAGACAGACAGACAGTAGGAACAAGAGTATCATTTGTTCTGATGATCCTACTTATCAATGAGTTTTGCATTTAGTTTCTCAGGGGAAGTATACTAAAGAAAGTGATTGTTATCTCCATTGTCTTCTAGACTCACACATTTCTCTTAATTTCTATATTATAAAACTCACATTCAAAATTTAAAACTATATTTTCACTTCTTTGAATGTTGATATTAAGATCCCAAAGGGATTTCTCATTTGACTTTTTCTTCTTAATTTCCTTCTTATTGACTTTTGAAAAATCTTTTCATTTTTTTCATCCATGAAACATTTGAACCCTACTTATATCATCAATGTGGGAACCAAATTGGGCATTCCTCCATCCCCACCAAATTTTGTGGTGTAGATACTTTTCATTGAAATGCCATAAATAAGTAACATTGTTCAGAAGGGCAGAACTTTGAATTATCACAAGCCATATTCATAAATATATACAGTCTTGGAAACCCTTGCTTTATACTGGTGCTTTACCTTCTCTGCCAGTGCTATGGGGAGAAATTATCTTTCCTTTATTTTCATAACCCTGAGCAAAGTGCTTTCCTAAGGATAAACTCATAAAAAAAAGTTACTGAATTAATGAATGATTGTATGTATGAATTAACAGAATTTTTCTTATTTTATGATAATAGAAGATTTATAAAATGCTAAGGATTCATTAAAATGCAATAGGAAATAGGTTATATATCAAGTAATAGCCAAAAAAAAGTGGCAGGGGAGGTTTGGCATGTTTTCTTTTAGATTTAGCATTTTTCTTTTTCAATAACTAGTGGAAATGTTGGAAAGATATCTCTCACAGCTTAGAAAATGAAGAGAATTATATGGTGTTTTAACCGTTAATGTGTGGTTAGAAGGAAAAAGATGTTTAATATCTAAAGACTAATATATTGTTGTCTTTTGAATCAAGATAACTGGCATTTCTCTGTCATTTTGAAATAAATACCATGTACCTTTCTATATACAGAGACATGATAAATGCAGATCTTACCTTAAAAATTTCATTAAATGCTCCTCTGTAAGTTAAACCCAGACACACATTCATGTCTAAATGTATTTAGTATTTATTTTCACTCTTAAAGTGATGCTATTTACATTTGACTTTAGAAGGCAAACCATACCAGTAGGCCATCAGGGATTAAGCTGGGCGGTATTAAAGTTAGAACACACATGTTTGCAAATTTCTATGTCATTAAAAAGAAAAATCACCATAAAATAAATACTTATTCTTTAATTGCAAGTAATATGGAACAATTTGTACTTAGTTCTAAAGTTCAGTCAAGGAGGGCTTCCCAGGAGGTGTATTACTACTGTATGAGTTGAAGAGCCGAGATGGAGAATGCTTCTGGAAGTCAAGCAGTGGCATTCCATGGGATATTCAGAAAAGTTAATAGTTCAGTTATTCCCAAGAAGCCTTCTTGCTGCAGACTCATGATTAATGGTCCCACTGCTCCTCTCTCTCGTTTACGCCTTCTTCTTCTTCAGGAAATGCTGATTCATTCTGGCCTTTCAGATGCTTAACCCCTGAAATTATAAAAATTATGTTCAATTTAATTGAGATTTATTCCTAGCAGTTTCGCTGCTTTGCTGCAAGAGATAAAGAAAATGAGTGGAAAGTTTTTGATGGTGTGTATGGGTTTCCTCCAAGAATCTCAACAATCTAATCCTATGTAAAACCTTTGAATTCACTGAGGAATAAGAACACACCCAGCCAAATTTCCATTAGAGACAGGCTGCCTTTATAATCAAATCTTCTCCATTAAGAATTGCATCACAGCCTATTAAAAAGCTGTTAACTAAAAATCAGCTCACAGGCTTTTATTGTAATTCTGATATATCATTTAGTTCAAATATTTCTTTTGGCATCCCTGAACTCTACTGCAGCAAGAAGCATTGAAACCCCTAGGAACAAAGGGGTGTGTGTGCCATTTCTGTAACTTGTAAACAACAAAAGAATCATGATGTTGTTAGTCTTCTTTAGGAACAGGAAAATACCCATTTGATTATGAAACTTCTGTATTCCTAATTCTTCAATAACTTCCCCCACAACCTACAGAGGGGAAAACATTGGCATGCCTTTGTGTGCTCTACAGGCTTCTATGATCTGGCCTCTCCCTCCCAGCGGCCTTATTTCTCACCAGCCCCTCCTGCTTCCCCCTTTCAGAGTCATTTACTCTTTAACAATACCACCCTCCTAGTCCACATTCCCTCATCACTCCAGGCTCCCTCCAGCCTCTGTGCTTTTCTCATTTTATTCTCCCTGCCAAATAGCTTCTTTCTACTCGCCCACCTGGTAACCTCCCACCCATCCTTCTGGTCTCTGGTCTCAGCTTGCCTCCTCTGTGCAGGCTCTCCTAAGTCCCCAGATTGACTTAGCTTGGTCTTTCTCATATTTTCCCACTGCTCTTGGATCACTTTCTCTTGCATCAATTACCTTATAGAACTGTTTTGTTTACATATCTTTCTCATTAGAGCAAACTTGTGGATGTCAGGATTATGCAGTTTCACTTTGGAGTCTCAACCACTGTCTGGCAAACAGTAGGTGCTCATTAATATTGACTGTGTGGGGGCCTGGAATTGGCCACCCCAAGATATGTCTCTTTGGCATGAGGATTATTTGGGGCTGGTTACTTTTAATAAACTGCAGACAGGAAAGCAACTGAAAAGTAGAATTTACTTACCCTTTGTTAAGAGACATTTACGTTGTAAAGGAAATCTCAATCTGTAAAGGTGTCTCCCTCTCTGTACCAGGAAGAAGAGGGGGTGACCTTGTCTCTAGAAACTCTTAATCAATGCCGAAGGCAAGGACTTAAATCTGCATTTGTTTACTGTACTTGTGTGGTAATCTCCCATGATCAACTCCCCCTCCACCCCCAACATCCTCCTTTGTCTTTAGCTGAATATGATATTTAAGGTGGCGGCTTCAGCCATTTTGGCAAGTGGCTCAGTTTGCCTGAGCCTCTCCCATGTATACATGTTATAAAGCTTTGTTTAATTTTCTCCTGTTATTCTGTCTCATGTGAATTTAATTCCTTCTCTGGCCATAAGAACCCACAGTGGGTAGAGGAAATGTCTTCCTCCCCTACAATTGCATAAACGATTGTTGGAATTTATGATGTAACAAGCAATTTGGTATATGTCTTTGGCAGCACCACAATAATTCATATTTGTATTTTTTCAAAATTAATTCAAATCAGAAGGCAACTGCTACAGCCATCCTCAATCTACGAAATTATCTTTCATTTCACTTGGGTCTATTCTGTTAAAACATCAGATTAGCTGACACTCCGTGCATATAGTGATGTTTAACATGGAAAATTTTACACATATTTTATGTTTTAGAGAATTAGTTTATCAGATTTTTCTAAGTGTTACTGAAAAACCTTCCAGTTAGAATTGATAAATGAAAGGAAATTACTGCTCATGTTTGCTATGAAATAAACTGGGAAAAAAAAGTGCGGATTTTCACGTACTGTAGTCAGCAAGCCTCAGAGTGCTATTTGGCAAAGAATGACATCCTTGGGCTTGGTGGATTATCTTGTAAAAATATTTGATCAGTTATAATAATATTTAAGTACTTTAATTTCATCTGCAAACAGTGATCACTCATAATTCCTGTTGACCCAAGACTGTAGAGAGACATTTGTTATTAACAAATGGAACTTATTTCACACTATTGTAAATTACATGGTGAAGAAAAAGAAGTCTAAATGCTAAGGAGAAGGAAAGGGAGTTCAATGGGCATCCACTCCGTCACTCTGCTAGAGTCTACATACCTAAGTCACTAAATCTCACAGCAACTCCATAAGACACACACCTGGATGGTGACATTTAGACTCCAAGAAGATAAGTGATTTGTTCAAGGTTATAAGCACAGTGTGGTTCTGAGAGAAGTTCTGACACATCGCAGTCCCTTAATATAAACTGACTGAGTGACTGATTGACTGACTGACTGAATGAAAATGAGTGAATGAGGCATAAATTTGCATTATCAGGAGGCTCCAACTCATTTTCACGTTTAGCTTTTTGGATGCTTATCTAGACTTTTCTCTCATTCTCTAGGATTTATCGTAAGTTTACAGTAGCTATTAACCTGCTTCAGATGATCTGAAGAGTCCCTCTGCAGTACTAAAGTGTAGTAATCTTTCAGCCACTCACCGCTCTCTTTTCTAAACTCAAGCTGTCCTCCCTGGGTTTGCAACGGTTCTATTGCCTAAGGAGATCATTCCCAAGGCAACTACAGAGTAAAGAAGTTGTATTCAAGACAATTTTCCTTAAATTAGGGTTAATAACTTACTGTCAACATTGATTTGTCTTTATAAGGGGGTCAAACATTTAAAAAAATCAGTAACCGAAATGTCCAGCTTTTTAAGCCATTAATCAACCACTTCCCATACTTAAGTATGGGTCTGCTTGCTTACCTGATCCACAGTTAATTTATTTTGTAATAATAACGGTCATGAAGTGATATGAGAAAGCCTTTTTTTAAAAGTAAAACCAATTACTTAAACCTTGGAAGGTGCTTTTTTTTTCAGCCTTATTTGAGTGTGACATTAACTACTTGATGAGGCAGGAGTTCTGTTCTGCAGAACACTTCTGTAAGAATCACAAATTCTTTGGTTCCCAGTTTACACTAATATTATCTTTCCAGTGGAAAATGGATGGTTCATTAATTTGTGTGTTGAATCTCTCTTCTTTCCTATCAGCAATATTCCTTGGGTTATATATCCAATAATGCTGGATTAAAGTGTGAATTCTGCAAGGACAGCCTAATAGTTTTTCTCCTTACCACCCCCCCCCCCATCCTCAAACACACATATCCTTTGTGTTTAAATTTTCTTTAAATCCTCGTTTGATATTTGAGTAATTCTAGAGGTGGAGGGGAATAACTTGGGCGGGGTTGTTGATGAAAGTCTCAGAACCTCCTCCTCGACCAAAGGCTAAGGGGCATGTGGGAAAACACCTCACCCGCACAGGCTGCCTCTCAGCAGCGGCAAAGGGCCTCCTGGAAGAGCACGGGCTCGGCCAGCCCTGCCCACAGGCAGAAGGCGAAGGGACCCCAGAGAACACATGGAGGTTCTTTTCTCCACAGCAAAAGGAACCCACGGGAAAAGGGACCATGTGCAAGACCAGTATATGCAGTATGAATACATGAAGGAATAAAAAAATAGAGTTTGAGGAAAAGAAAGTAGACCAAGTAAAAGAAGAAAAGGAAAAGAAATAAATGTTGCCCCCAAACAGAGAATAGTCCTCACGCTCTTCTCCAGATCAGGAGGTTAAACGCGTGTTGCATGAAGCTGTAAAGTGACTGCATAAAGAATAATTAATAATGAATCCACTGTGGAAGGCTTGCATTTGGCAAACAACAGTCAATATGTTTATCAATTAATTCAGAGGAAAAAAGGTAGGTTTACTATATTTGTAGATGACATGAAACTTGGAAGAAAAGATGACATGATGAATGACAAAACTAGTATTCCAAAAGGTCTCCAAGAGCTGGAAAGATGGCCTAAGCAATTAAGGCAGAGGTCAACAGGGAATTTTTCAGAAAGATTATTTTGGTTCTAAAAAATAGAGAATGAGGGCAACCTGGATGGATTATAGTGAGGGGTTTCAGGTAACCACGATTTCAACATGACCCGGTAGTTACCTGTTTCTAGGAACAAAGCTCTCTGGCGGGTGGCAGGTGGCGGGTGGCTGGTGGTGGCATTCCTAACAGCAGCGTCAGCAGTTTAAGAGAGGGAATTCCTCTCTAACCGTGTGCTGGTCAGACCTCTTTTGGATTATGCTGCCTAATTCGGGATCTGCGTTTTCAAGAGTTCCATTGAAGAAGGCAATTGGGACTAAAAGTGGTCTTATGAAATCACTTTTCTAGAAGAATTGCATATGAAACTGGAATGTTTAGCATAGAGAAAATTAAGAGAGGACAGAAGAGGCTGCCATTGAATTCCTAAAAGACTGGAGAAAGAAGTACAATCTATCTATGCAGTTCCTGAGGGCAGAAACAAGACCAATAGCTGGTGAGGGCAGAATTTGGCACAATATGAAGGAGAAAATTCCTAAACCTTTTATGTTTGCCCAGCGATAAACATGTGCATGAGCTCCCCATTGCTGTAACGTTCAAGTCAAAGCCGAATTTTGATTTCTGAGGTGAATTATAAGAAGGAACCCTGCAGTGAGTGGCAGGGTGGACTGAGAACCTCACTGACACCGAGATGCTATCAATCCACAAAGGAAATTTTTTCTACTGAAAAATTTGCTCTGCTGTGAGAACTGTAAGTTACAAAAAAGTAATCATAACTTCAAATGACGTAAGTGGCCCAAATCCACGTTTTAAAACGTATTCACATTAGGAGTAGCAAATGTAAATGGATTCGTTTTTCTTCAACATACTTTAGACCTTAGAAATCACTCGAATGTCCTCTGGGGACTCTGTGGGTGGATTTTAAAGAGACTCTGACCTTCTTGGAATTCTATTTATGGCTGTATTTGTGCTTTTTTGGGGAAGAAGGTCCATAGTTTTC